GAACTAGTCTAGTGTTTTTATTTATTTAATACCTTTAAATACTGTAGGTTGTAAATGCTCCTTTACCATGTCAAAGGACAATAATATAAAAAACAACTCACAGAAATTGAAATTATGTTATTTCTCACAATGGCGTGAAATTGAGGCAAAGACTCATTGCCAGAGGAAATTTTTTAGGAAACACATTTTGTCACAACAGTAGCAATCATCAACCTAGTGCCAGAGGTTTACAAAAACAAATGTAGAAGCTTTCATGCAATGGATAAAGATTGAATTATCAGCAGCTACTGAAATCAACAGAAAGGGCATTTAAATAGGTATTGTGTGGAGCGGCCCTTAACACTTCTGAGCTTATCATTTACAAACATCTATAAATTCAGATGATTAATATCATTTCTGTAAATTAACTTCAATAGTCAGCCTGACTCAAATTAGTCCACTGCAGAGATAAGCCTTCCTATCTGTGTTTGTGAGAACATTTTTGCCAAAAATTGTCCACAGTTAATCAAGGTTACACATAAAGAAGGATGCTCAACGACTTTCTGTGCAAAGATGAAAAACTGTGTACTGAATGTACTCTAAATGATCTGTTGCAAATCAGCAGAGTTATTAGAAAAACAGATGGATTTTGTGAGTTGAGATCTTATAGTGCCTCTGTCACGATCTCTCTCTTTGTCTTATCTCCACTTCATGTGATCAGCGTTGATCATCATGTAGGCCGTGGACTCCCTTAGTGTGCTAGAAACTGGCCAATGGAAAGCCAGTAACAGTGAAAGGATTTGACTAGTTTATAAAAATATCTGATCCTCTTTATTTTTTATAACATTGTCACTGTCAGGACCCTGTAGGAATAATCACTGTGTTCCCAATGATCTGATGGGTCAGTGATCAGGCTGTTGATGACCTGATTCTCTGAAGTTAGCTTGTTCCAGAGCTGGTTAGCTGTGCAGCATAGGTTACCATGGTGATCTAGCCCTATTAAAACTGAACCATCTTTGCGGTACCAGAAAATCGGAGCTACAGTAAGTGCAAAGTTGTTGAACCACTAATCTCGCCTTGTGGTACAGGCCACTGCTCTTACTACCTGTTCCTCTCAGTTCCACTCACACATTTCTTCTTCTTGTCTGCGTAATCACAGCTTTAAAGCCAGCAGCCAGCATTCTTCTCAGTTCCACTCACACATTCCTTCTTCTTGTCTGCGTAATCACTTGGACAGCTTTAAAGCCAGCAGCCAGCATTCATCCCCTGGCAGGCTGTTGTTGAAGGACTGTCTGTTGTGATTCTCAAGCGATCATCCTCTTTGTGACTGTTGTTGACTTGTTTCTTTCTTGGACTCTGACCCTGGATTCATCCTTGTTTGTGCTTGTTTGTTCCCTCCTGATTTCTGGTCAGATACTGTTTCTGTCTCAAGTTTTCTGCTTGCCTTGTGGACTTGAGTTTCTCCCTGCATCTGTTTTTCTTCTGCCCCTTGTCTGAACTGTTTGCTGAGCCTGCGTATTTGAAGACAATTTGTTTTAGCCATGATGAAGCCTGCTTCCCACACTGGCTTGTTTGTAGGCCCTGCAACCACTTATCTGTCCTGTTGTTTCCCCTCTCTGCTTATTCCTGTCACTTACCAGTGGCCCTGTTGCGTGCCTGCCATCTCAGCAACTTAACTCAACTGCTAGTATTTCTGTGTTGCATTTATTATTATTATTATTGTTATTATTAAACTCTTCACCCCTGCCTCCTTGCCTCTAGTCTGCATCTGGGTCTTATAAATTATAAATTGTGACAGCCCCAGAAAAACTCAGACATGAGAAAAATATTTTAGGAAGTTTTGCCTTCATTGACAAGAGCTAGTAACAATAACACTGCTGCACTTTTGCTGTCCAAGTTTAGCTCATTTTTCCTCAATTTAGGGAGTGGTTATTACAGTAACTTACTACTAATAATGTTTTCCTTGACCAGCTCTTGCTGATTGCCTTCTAGTACAATCCACAATGCAAGGTTCTGGTAAACCGCAATAAGACAGGCCAAATTTTCTTTCTCATCATGGAGCGACTGTGGTTCAGTGGGTAGAGCAGTCATCTCCCAACTGGAGGGTTGGAGGTTCGAATAACGGTGCCTGCAGTCCACATGTCGAAGTGTCCTTGGGCAAGACACTGAATCCCCAGGTTGCCTACCCGATGGTTAGAGCCATTGTGTGAGTTGACGCCGTAGATGGCTTCCTACGTTCTGTACCAGAAACGAATTCCTTGTGTGTGTAACATACTTGGCCAAATAAAGGTGATTATTATTTTTTTTCTTCTTTTGAGCTTGGAAACGACTAAGAAACACATAATAAATGCTCATTTAAGGAGCATCATGCCCTTAGGCATGATCATGCTTGCTGTCCCTCTCTCACACATTTTGACCTACATGGATGTCATTGTCATTTTCCAAGTTCTGGGTCCAGTGGCTGTCAGTGATTTGGTGCATGCTAATGTGCCTTTTTTTTGCCTTTGTTTTAAAGTATAGTACTTTTTTGTTTTCAATTTCTTCCAGTGTATGATGCTCTAAACTTTGAATGTTTATTGCAATAGTGACCTGTCACTCTATTTCAGTAAGAAGCTATTTCTGAAATCTGTCAGGGTTGGCGTGTAAAGCTGCCAATATTGTCTGAACTCAATGGAAACAGCAGACGAGATTGAGTAGCTAGCTATCTCTTTACTGATCACAGTTAAGAGCATACAATGCAGTAGTCCAGAAACACAATCCAAGTCGATAACAGTCCAGGGTAAGTGCCGGCAAGCTCACACAGCCAAGGGATCCAAAAACGAAAGGTCAGAGAGGGAAGTCCAAAAGTCAATACACAGAACACAATCAGAATCAGGAGGGCAAGGCAGTACTCGGTGGTCAAAGCAATCCAGGGTCAAATCAGGAATCACAAGTAACAAGAATAACGCTGGAAAGTCTGAATGGGAGTCAAGAACAATCTGGCAGCTTCCTAGCAGGGGGAAGCTGCCTATAAAGGGTGAAAACAGGTGTAAGCAATTGTTTCTGATTAGGGTAAGGAGTCCGTAACTGAGGTGAGACTGCAACAGGAAGTGGTTTCAAAATGAAAGCCTGGGACCGGGAGCCAGAGGGACACAATCATGTCAGAAATCTTCCAAACAGCATCAGCATTGTTCCACGTTGAACTTCCCCTGTAAGGTTTCTCTTTGGCATTTGATGAGGTTGCATGTGTTGTGATTGCCACTGACCTCTGTCAACATAAACAAAGAAATTATATATTTAATAAGTACTTCATGTATGGGCATTTTAAACCATTGCAAAGTTGATAAATTTGAGGATTAACCTGCATATATATATATATATAGAGGAAAAAGAAAACACAAAATACTGTATGCACCTCTAGCTTTTATTTTTATTATCACTTTCTTCACAGTTTCTTTTAGCTTTCAAAGAATTCTCCAAAGTTCTTTCCTTTTTCTTTTCTTCTGTTTTTCAGATCAGATCGTAGTGATTAACAGTTGTCATTGTCATTTTTAATTAGTCAGCTTGGGTTTTTCTGTGCAAGCATCATCATCCCATCTGGTTTGGTCACTGCTGTGAAACAGACATACACTAACTGCTGTTTTTACTATGTGGAACCACAACAGCGAACTGCAGACTCCATCCTTTCAGTACATTTTAGAAGAAGCTAAATACTCCCCCTGCTAGGGGATCTACAAGACAGCAGGTGTCCTATAGGAATACATACTGATAATCACTGACTTGGTGGCACTCTCCCACTGTCCCACTCCTGATGTCTGATTCGAGGGGAGCTGGCATGTGTTCTCTGAAATATGATGTTTTATGACTCGGCTCGTTCTGATAAAGCTCGTTGGACTGAGGACCATAAGCCTGGCAGAATTTTACATTTTTGTCCCAAGATTCATGACTTTAACATAATAATAAAACACTTTCAGAGTGACTTACAGCACTGATTAGGTATTCATACTTGTGAATTTGTGACCCCAGTGTCATCCCTGGGATGTTACATCTCTCTGTCCCCCCCATATGAACCCCCCCCCACCTTAGGTCTGACAGTTATGGGAAGAATGACTTGGTATCGACAGTAATCTTGCCCATTCAGAAGTGTGTTATTGTCTTTTAGTCCATTCTGCTTTCCTCATTCTTTTTTTCCATCCTTCCAACCCTTTCTGTCAATTTTCTCTCTCCTCTGCATTTTTTTTATCAGAGTTGTCAATCTCTGTGTCCTCTTTCACTCTCTCTCCCTCTCTGCTGTTATTTTCTCATCTGCTCACATAATATCCACCTCTTCTCTGCTGATTCATTTTCTATACATTTGAATATCTAAGTTCCCCCTCCTTCCATTTTCTCCCCCTCAGTGCCGTTATATTTTCCTTTGCTGCAGCACTGCCAGTTTTCATTTTTACTTGCAAGTGCTCTCTTCTGTCTAACATGCTACTGTTTCTGTGTTTCTACATGGTTCAGGATTTCCAAATCATTATGGATACCTGGATACTGTTTGGTAATTGGCTCCTAATAGCCTTTATTCTAAGGCAATATTATCTTAAACAAAATGCTTCCTGGTCGAGTTAAGCCCTGTAGTGAATAACTGTAGGGCACACAATAAAGTGTTGCATAATTACAGTATTTTAAAGAAAGGAAAGTGACTCACAGTCCTGTGGGGTATCAGAAAGGCCATATCCCCGTGAAACATGAAGATTTTCTTGTTGCAGTTGATGAATGGGTTCCAGATCTGTTAGTAGACCATAAAAATGTCACGGCGGAAACTCCATTTTCCTTCTGAGCAGGTAACCAGGTGTCGTGACCTTAGAATCAGGCTTACCGAAGAACAAAAGGCTGTCAAATACTGAGGCGCTTGTTCTTGGCACCATATTTGGAAAAAAGATGACAACTAATGCATATGTAGTACTCAATGGGCCACCTGTAACAAGCAAAGCAGACTATTGCTCTGGGGATACATTACTTTAGAATTACTGCATGTTCCTTGACAGAGAACTTTTCAGGTTTGGTCGTCCTGGTGTAGAGTGTTACTGTCAGCACGAAAGCGGAGCAGCCGTCATTCAGCTACAGTTTCTCATCAACGAGGTAAGTTTAAAAAAAAAAATACTCACACTGCTCAGTTAATCCCCTGATGTGTCTGTCTCACAAAGACAGATAACTGTGGGTAGTAGTGTTATTGATTTAAAAAATGATTTTATTTAACTTCCCTCCACCGTTTTCATTTTTTAACATGGAGAGAACATTTCCCTGTCACCAGTAGGGCTGGGTAACAATCCTCAATACTTTTTGAGTACTATACCATAGTATTTAAAACTGTCAAGTATTGAAAATTGGCACAGTACAAGTGATGGACATGCAGAATGTCTTAGTTCTTTCAGTCTGTCTGAGCAAGAACTTTGTCAAATTTGTCATCTACTGAGATCTGAAGTGTCACATTTTAAACGCCCTGTCAGTCTCTTTTGAACAACTGCTAAAAGCTTGTTTGCATCTTTCCCTTTAAAATCACAGACATCACAGATATAAGCCAACCCACATCTCATCCAGCCTTCACTAAGCAGTTGCTCAGATAAAATTGGCAGTTCTGACCATGTGTCATATTTTGCCACAGGCCACAGTAAAAATCTGAAAGCATTTTGCCAAGTGTCGACTGACAGACAGGAAAGTACTGAATACCTACAGCACTTTCTGATTCAGATGAAATGAAATAAGAGTTTGATATACTTCATATTTATGAGAAATGCGGTATTTAAAGCTTAGTCGGGTGTGTGCATGTTTTTGTGTGTGCATGTCAGCGTGTTACTGTGACTCAGGAGCTGAAACAAGCCCTCAGCACGATGGAGATGATTTCAGTGCCTCCTACATGCACACATACGCTCATATACATCTTATGAATCATCATCGTTACCTGGGAGAAAGCTGCCTGGTTTAAAATCTGACTGACTGTCCAGGGAATGAAGTCTGACTCATGCCTGTCTCATTCAAAGACATAATTAAAGGTCCAGTCTCGAAATATGTGCAGTGTGCTTTCATTTCAAGGATGACACTGTGCTTTGTTTGAAGATATTTTAATCTCTGAATATGAGATTAACAGTCTGTTCTGCTGTGACAGGGAGCGCTGGTGAGTGCTCTGGCTGATGACAGTGTCCACTTGTGGAACCTGAGGCAGAAGAGACCAGCCATCCTTCACTCCCTCAAGTTCAACAGAGAGAGGTAAGAGGTTCACCCAAAACTGCAAATGATGAGATAGTGTAGGTTGTGTGGTCTGTCTTGCTGCCACTCTGTGTTCTCCCTTTCTCTCTGTTTTTCCTCTCCCTCCTCAGTTAGGTCCTCACACTTGCTCTGGTGCAACATGAATTGTGGCTTTCTGAGCAGGGGCAGTGTCACAGTTTGCTGCCTGTGTGAACTGCTAGTTTTCGCTGACTGTCATATTGTATGCAAACAGACAGCATTTCATTTGGCAAATGTGTCTATGCACCTGCAAAACTGTGCACAGGGCAAAAGCGGTGACAAAGAGAGTGATGCTCTCTCGCTCACTCTCTGTTGGTCTGCAACTAAACACTCATTATTTGGGTCACTTAGTCTATTATAGAGTCTTTCCCATCACTGGGGCACAGGTGTAAACCTATCCAAACACCTGAAGGTTTTCTCCAGCGGGTTGTTACCGGAAAAAAACAAACAGAACAGAAACACATGCAATCAATTCATACACACAGCTGCAACAATTAATACATGTACACAAATAAACATAGGTTCCAATTTTGAGACAGTGGAAGGTGTGTGAAATCAAAAGTTCTGTGATTGAGATTCAGTGAAAGGGCATTATGGAAACGAGAAGAAGTTTCCATTAATTAGACAGAGCCTATTGAAGGATTAGGCTAAAGTCCAGAGGAGTCTACATGCAAGTTTGTTAGTTTTTTTTTAAACACAATTTAACAGTAGTTTTATAGGTTTTAGTTTATTAAGTACAGTACAAACCATGCTTTATATCTTTGCTAATTACATTTTCAGGTACTCCATAACTTCAGCATAACTATTTATTTAATATTTTAGATTAATTCTCATCCTATGAAGGAGTCAGTGGGTCCTGTTCACTTATGGTCTTTGTGAGAGTTGCATTACTGTAGCAATATGCTTTCAAAATTCCATGTTGGTGTATTATATGTACTGTAATAGATAAAACATGCATAACAACCATGAAATGAAGTATTCCTTCCAACATCAGATAGTGAAATGCAGAATCACCTCACCTCAAGGAAGCTGGTGTCCGCTATCAATGCCAATCATATCACTGGCCTCTGATCTGTCACTGTGAAATGTGGTGAATGGGTTAAACGTCAGAGTCAATAACCTGACACTGCGCTGATGTGACGGACAGGAGGCCGGCAGCAGCTTTAAGAGCGGACTGTGTTCTTGCAGGAGAGCTTGACTGCCTCTGACATTTTGTAAGCTCTGCCATCCAGTGCAATGACCCTGAGACACAGCATCAGAAAGGAAAAGAGTTACTGCATCTCAAGAGATGTCAAGATGGGACAGATAATCTGCAAAGCCACTTGAGACATTTGGAAATAGAGGAAAACATTTCTGTAGTAGTTTGTCGACATGGTAGTGCATCAATTAAAAGTCTTAAAATGGTTGAACAAATTGTTCAGGGCAGCAGAGTTTACTCGGAGGCATTTGACTGATTAAAGTTGCTCTATGGCCTTTGATCAAGTGTTATATCCCTCCAGAACATTCCTCTCTGGCTTTTTTTCCCGCCAACTTAACCTTCCAACTATGGAAACGCATATATTTAAAAACTGTGAAGGTGAATTAACTTCAATTATGATAAAAACACACATACTTGAATTGGTTTTTGCTGGTGCTCTGTGTGTGAAGTGGAGAGAGAAAGAGGGAGGGAGGGTGTGTGTGTATGTGAAAGTGCTCGAGGTGTGTTGTAGACAATTTATGTGAGTGTATGCACTCTGTTATCAAGTTAGATTCTTCTTAAAAGAGACCATCTGGGTAGATTGGGGTCTTTGACCTCTCAGATTAGAATATATTCCTCAGTCAGGTCTGGACCTTTGCCAAATGGATACTGCATGCCACCAAATCTGTTTCATTTGTGTTTTGTTATTTCAGCAGTGAAGGCCAGTTTTTCTTATGTCTAAAGGGTATTCAAAAGTTAATCAACTTTTTTGTTGTTGCTTAATAATCACTTATTTTGCATTGTCTTTGTCCATGTTATCATTTCAAAATGATGCCAAAATGAAAATCTCCATGCTGCAACCAGCCAGCTGGGGCAGATTAACTTGTGGTGGCATCATTTCTGGAGGCTGGTCACGTCATCCATCTTTATATACAGTTTGAATCCATCACATTAATAATATTAAAGCAGTCACTGGTGTATTATGTGTCTTATGTCTGTTTTGCTGCAGTCATGACATACTTTCATTATAGGAACCAAATCATATCCATTTCGTACCGCACTATTGTCTAGTCAGCAGTAAGTGATCAAGGTTTCGCTGAAGGGCAATTTATAAAAGCTGTTCAGAGAAAGGGATTACTAGATGAACTGATGCAGTTTAGATCAAAGTTTTCCAACTGGCAACTTTCTAATTAAAGGCAGGCTCACATTCCTCCATTTGTAGTGATGATCCTCTTTGATAGGAATATCACAGTGAAGCCTGTGTTACAAATGATTTTCTACAATTTCCCCTCTTGACAGTTAATTTGCAGTGAACCACAGTCTCATATTTCTAGCCCACAGTGCAGTTAGTCTCAGAGTTGTGTGTTACAGGTGTCTGTCATTTCTGAGATAATGCATTGGTCCCTGAGCCTGCAAGCTGGCAGCTGCCTTTGTGTGTCGTGACCACTTGAAGCTGGAGAGTTCACTAGGAGACACGTGTGTGTACATGACAAGTATGAACACAAAGATACACATACATAAGTACACTTGCATTTGCACAAACACTTGGGTGCATATTTGCATGCACACACACACACTAATTACAAACTGTGAACAAATTTGTATAATTATGCTCCTGACACTGCAGCTCTGTTGGCCCTCTCGTACTGGCTCTAAGAACAGTTAATCAGTTAGCTTGTATGTGTGCACATACAGTACATGGATCAAGCACATTCAAATATAGCATTCATTTACACAGAATACGTATATAACTAATTACACAAATTTATATCATGTACACCTGCACATGTACACAGACAAAAAGTACAAGGCAGATAAAAAAAAGACAGACAATCATGCACATAGTGTTTGTATTTTACCAAAATGTCTTGTCTACATTGTTGTCTGCACTACTATGAAGCAAAGGAGGCATAGTTTGTATTTTAGTAACATTTCACTGTAGATATATTTCCAGCTTTACTTCAATCAGCCACTATAATATGTTGTCAGCACACGAACTGACAGCTATCGCCGCCTCTGTGTTTGGGAGCAAATATGACATTTGCACATAAGATGAGCTTTAGATTACCCCCTTTCTGTCACCCAGTCAGGCACATCGAAATGATCTGATATGACTTTGCTCCAAAGATAATGCGCAGGGGTTTGCTCAAATATTGGTAGGGGTATGTCCCTACCATCCATATGCAAAACTATACCCTTGAGTTTAACTACATTTTGCAGTAGCTTGCTGGTAATTCAAGTGAATTTATGTTTGCAAAGTGATTCAAGTGGTCAAATTAATTGTTTGCCTTTTTTGTGGGTTGTACAGTAGTTAGCTGTTGAAACCACAATTTTGGGCCATCAAAGGACAAGAATGATTTTTGTTTTACAGTGCTGCACATGAGCATCTTTTCATGAACACGGTCTGTTTCAGTGCCAAACAGAACAGCCAGCTGGAAGACCTTTGACAAACAGCTCATGTGTGGTATAAATAAGCGATTCTGCTCTGACAAGTAAAAAGACAGGCCCATTATTTAGCCCAGTGTTGAAGCTGTTCATAAAGTCTAAAAATGTGCAGGTTGAAAACTGTCTTAATTGATAACATTGTACAAGTCAGATGTTACAGAACACGTGAGCAAGACAACAGGCCCATTTTTAGACCAGCGCTCAATTCAGTCAAACTGTCTAAAAAGCTGCAAGTTAAATGTTTTTCTCTTTACTGATTTAGTTGTAGTCAGATCATACAAAATCCAGGTTTGTTTACCAGCCCTGATGGGATTGTTTTATTTAGGACATGCTCAGGTCTCAGGTAATAAACTCAACTAAGTGGTAATTTTTGCTGGCATGTTATTTTTTTGTAATGATATTTTATTAGAATTTTGTATTGCATGGGCATTGTCAATTTGATAATTTTTTGCAAAGTAGTTTGAGCTACTTTTTCTAAGACAGAATACATGTGTATGAACGAGAGGGAGGGAAGTGGAACAGTGAGGTTACAGGGGGCTGAGGTCAAGAAGGTGCAGGAGTTTAAGTATTTGGGATCAACAGTCCAGTGTGATGGGGAGTGTAGGAAAGAGGTGAAGAGGTGAGTGCAGGCAGGTTGGAGTGGGTGGAGAAAGGTGTCAGGAGTGTTGTGTGACAGAAGAGTAGCAGCAAGAATCAAAGGAAAGGTGTACAAGACAGAAGTGAGACCAGCTATGCTGTATGGGTTAGAGACTGTAGCAGTGAGGAAAAGACAAGAGGCAGAGATGGAGGTAGCAGAGATGAGGATGTTAAGGTTCTCTTTAGGAGTGACCAGGATGGACAGGATTAGGAATGAGCACATCAGAGGGACAGCTCAGGTCGGCTGTTTTGGGGACAAGGTCAGAGAGGCCAGATTGAGATGGTTTGGACATGTGCAGAGGAGGGATAGTGGTTATATTGGTAGAAGGATGTTGGAGATGGAGCTGCCAGGCAAGAGGTCAAGAGAAAGGCCAAAGAGGAGATATATGGATGTGCTAAAAGAGGACATGAAGTTAACTGGGGTGAGAGTAGAGGATGCCAAGGGTAGAGTTAGGTGAAAACAGATGATTCGCTGTGGCGGCCCCTAACGGGAACAGCCGAAAGAAGAAGAATGAGCTACTTTTTTTGAGTAGACTTTAGTTAACCAAACTCAATTACTCCCTAGAGAAGCTGTTTTCAAAGAAGCTACCCCAACAATGGAGATGAGGCACATCTGTTTGTGCAGATGGAAACGGACATTGAATCCTCTAGACAGCCTGCCTATTGGATATGAGGATGCCACAAGTTGTCATGAAAAATCCCATTGCTCTTAGTCATCGTGCCTGGTTAAATGAGTGTGTACGAGTGTGTATCTCAGTGATCAGCTGTCCATGTTTCAGTAAGTTGGCTCATACTGTACTCTTGCAACCCTGTTTTCTAAATATCATGCTCTTGTACAAGTAAATAGCATGAGAAAATAGAACCATAATGCTGCCTGGATTACATTTTTAATAGATAAACATTATATACTATTTGTAATCCAAAAATATCTGTCAATATGTTTTTTTTTTATTTTGACTATTTTTAA